AAGGCATCAATGAGGGTTGAGAATACAATGGTTTGCTATAAGCATCAGAGGTGCTTTGTTTAATAGTGGCTTCTAACATGATTTTGAGCTTATGATTCATTCTCTCTAATGTCATGGAAATGAAGTAAATGTGTGTCACCTGGCCATGTTTCCAAATGAGTTCAAGAGGCATTAGACGAAGCCAGTGAATGTGCATGTCAGAGAACATTGAATATTGCCCTTATTTAAAGATCACAACTTAGCTTTTCCTGCAGGAAACTGCATTTGAAAAGTTGTGATCAGCAAGAATTGCCACTATTGATGATTCCAAATCAATCCTATTTTGTTATTAAATATTTCTATTTATATTACTGACATAACAATCTTGGCTAAGAATTCTGAATTCTCAACTAGCAATTATATTGGATACTTCCATACTGAAATCTTAAGGATTTATAACCTGGTTTAATCTTCAACTGGGACATATTATCTCCAATAGAAGTGTCCCTGCATATACCTATTGAATGTTCTTATCCTAAAAGTAAACAGTAAAATTAATGGGAGAAACTGAATGAGCATGCTTTCTTAAGATTTTCTCTATGAAAACATTCTTTCATATGCTAGCTTTTAAAAATAATTTGTAGCCTCCATATTAAGGTCTATAAAGTTCATACTTTTTATTTCTGCTTTATTCCTGTTCAATGCATTGCCAAATATTGCTTTTGTGTAATTGAAACAGAACTGTAGTTTGATTATTAAACAGAGAGACTGTAATTGTCTTCAGCTCTAATGGGGTAAGCAAAAGCTCTCAGTAGAAGTAAACCTGAAACAGTGAAAAAGTTTCTTTTTTTCCAGAGCAGAACCAGAGGGACAATGCTAGGGGGCCAGCAGCCTCACCACCAAGGGGTGGTCTTCTGGTTTCAAGTGGTGGCTTGGGGATGTGGGTTTGACAAGACATTTTGCAAGTGGTTGTATACAGTCTATTTATTTTCTCCACCCTTCTTCTCTATTCTGCCTTCATTTGTACCTCAAAATATTTGCAATTTAAATATTCCTCCTGCATTACAGGACATGTCTGTAGCTGCAACCCTGACAGCTCTGACCTGCAGTTTAGACTGGTTTTGCTTCTGAAGTGCTGAACTATGGTGGAAACAATGCTTAAAAGGTTCAGGCAAAGGCAAAAGGAAGGTGCCAGGTGTACTAAGCAGCATGTGTGATTTAGTACTTGAAGCCTAAGAGCAGGGAGAAAACAACACGTGACACCATATGAGTACCATTTTTAACCCTAACATCAGATGAGGACAATGAAGCTTTCTGCTGTATCCTGCAGATGGCCATGAGTCAAGTAATGCAACTGATGCTTGCCAGTTGTTGACATGTCTGTGCAGAGGACACTCCTTTTTTAACTGCCACAGTTGCTTAAACCCAAAAATAACTCCTTATCTTACAGTGAAAAGTTTGAGGTACTTTATAATGATGCTAACCTTGAGCTGTACAACAACAAAAAAAGTACAGGTAAGATTGGTGCTCTAGGCAAGATGAAGGAAAGAGAGGCAGGATTTTATTATGCTTATAATTCTGTTTATCTTTCTAGATTTAAAAATTGTTGCTCCATGATAAGAACAAATCACTCTCTGTTCCCTTTCCTGTAGAAGCTCATTCCTTACTTGCTCCAAAATGGGTTTATCTCTGTAGCATTTGTACAACTATACGAATAGCCTTTGAGCAGATGTTAGGCTGTAAGCAACGGCTGCCTGCAGATCAAGTTGCTGCTGCCAACTCTCGCGAGCTTTGTGTCAGAAACAGTTGATTATAATGACAGTACTGTCCAATTTACGGGCTGAAGCAGCAGCTGCATCTGCGTTTTCCCTGAAGTATTCAAAGATCCTGACTCTTAAAAACTTTGTAGTTCTTGTAATAGAAGTGGGGTAAGTGATTATTTACACATCTCTGTCTGCCGGATTAATTTACAGTTCAGCTTGATTTGCAAGGGGATTGGGAACTTTTAAAAGCTCTGCCCATTTGTTGCTCTCTTGGGAAAACTGCTATGCAAACAGAAGGAGTAAGCAGGCATGTGTATCAGACCTTGGCATTATCCAAGGGATCCTGGGCTAAGTAAATTAAGCTAAGCTAGAAATCACTTATTAATTCAACCATCTTTTCTATTTAAATAGTGATTATATAGTCTTGTGTATAGATTTCTTGCCTGGGTGAAGATTTGCAAGAAGAAATAGTCATTGAAGTAAATTGTGTTCCCTTGCTGAATAAGAATAGAAAAGTATAGCCTGTTAAACTTTTGCTGGAGGAAAGTACTGCAGCAGCAGCTTTTTAAAGTATGCAAATACATTATGTGATATGTCTCTACTCAGTTAATGCTGATGAGCTAAAGCAATCTTCTGACCCTTTTATTTGCACAGTAATAATCCAGTAATGTTTGTTTTGCTCAGTGTGCTTTATGTTGTTGAATTTGTTTTAATGCAACATTAAAACCTTATTAAATGTAATATTTGCCATACATTCAAGGTATAATAATAATCCCCTTTCTACTTTTGTTAATATTAGCAGAGTAACTTGAGACAAGAGCTCTCATTCAGCAACACAAAACTTCTGCATTTTCCAGTGATCTATTTAAAACTTTTTGTTTAAAATGCCACCTGTTCTTTTGAAGAGCTCATTAAAATTAATTTTTTCTCATTTTTTTCTTACTAAAGTTCTTGTCTAAAACTTCTTAGGGTGAAAATTTATGCCTGTCTGTTTTGCAATGCTACAGTGTTTTCCTCCCATCCTTTTCCTTTTTAATTAACAGGAAAGTAAAGAGGGGACTTAATTTAATTACTACTTAGATATAGAAAGCTTCAGGAACTTCAACATCTCTTGTTTTTCTTAGGGTCATTTTCTCTTCTTCGTAATGATGAAGTTTGCAATTTTAGTATTTCCAGCTTGGTTTTGTGGTTTGGTCCTGGGTGGTATTTTAGAAGTGAATATGTGAAGAAAGTCAGTGTCAGCAAAACCACAGACTTGCAGAAATTGCTTCTTCTACCTCACAGTGCTGTGCATTGGATGCTCAAGTACCAGATCCTTGTCGCTTACATTTCTCACAGCCACCCCAGTTGCCTCGGTTGACTGTGAGACAGGGTGAAAGAGTTTAGCCCTAAACTAATCCTTACATAACATTCCTCACCCAGCCTTTTAAAGATTTTATTACAGGAATGAACAAAACAGAAATGACATAGAGATAGGAGCTAAATACCACTAAACTATATGAGACTCCTGTGAGGCTACTGCATGCTGACAGAGCAAGCCTCTGCTTACCCAAACTTATTGGGAGCTGCTGGACCATATGAGTCATCCAGATTGACTACTCATGTCTCTAAAGTTTAGGGTATATGGGGGCATTTGTTTCTAAAAGTCAAGCTGAAGGCTATGTGGAGTGTTAGACCAGCCCTGAAGTCTATTGCCCCCATTTACCACCTTATCCTTTTCTTTCTTTAATAAAAAGACAAGAGCATAAATGCTTATGTTTTCTAAAATTTATCTATTTTCTACCTGTTGGATGATAAAATATTTTCTCTGAGGATTCTTTCTTCTCCTTTGATGCTATCTCAAAGTTAGGAACTTCTTTGCGCACAATCTTTCTTTTCCTTCTTCCTGTTCCTCTTTGCCTTCCCCCCCACCATTTTCATAGTTCATTTCCAAGAATACGTGAACAAGCAGGAGGAGCTCAGATTAAGCCACAGCTGTACTTTCCACAGAAATTAGCTTAGTTCCTTTTAAGGACACAAGTGCTTCTTATTAACAAAGAATTGTCTGTTTAAAGTGGCAGGACAGAGTACACTATGTATGACAGGGCAACAAGCAAAAAATAGAAAGGAACTTTGTTGAACATTTTCAAATATGTAAACCATAGAAATGGGTTTTAGCAAATAGTCTTTTCCTGAGTTTTCGCTTTCAAGGAGAAGATACTGGGGGTTTAATAGCATTTGAAAATGTTGGCTTAAATAGGACTATTAGCATGCTTAAATGGGGTACATAATAAACATCTATACCCTTAGCTTTAAGATAATATTAATTATCATTGGAAGTTTTCAGGATGCAAATGCCAGGCTATAGTTAAATTATTGGGCAACACCTACATATATTAAAGAAAACCTTGGCTTTTTAGGATTTTAATATTTATTCTAAGTAGTAGAAGTGCGACTACTTCTCATTACTATGATGGTTATAAACTTGGTTATGTTGCTTTAGAGAAAAAATATCTCAAAAGAAATATTTTATTTAGGTCTTGGTGAACCTCTGTACACCAACTGACATTCAGTTCAGAAGTCCTTCATGTACTTCACTTGTTCAAGCACTTTCAGATCTTGCAGCATAGGAGTAGGACAGTGAAATCACCCAGTGCTTTGAGTTTACAGCAATGCCATCTCAATGGCATCTACTGTGAGACTAGCATATAGTTCAAAACTTATGTGGACCTGGAAATTCTTGGATTAAAACTAAAATAGCTTCAAGCTCCTTTTAAGTGTTATTAGGGTGTGTTTATGTGCTGAAAAGTCTGTGCCTAATGATGTTTATTATCACATTATTGATTTGAGAATACAAATGCCAGAGTAACCTCTAACAGAATAATGGTTAGTCTGGCATGGCATTTTCTGTCACAGGTCATAAAATGTCCTGTTTGTCATGCCATTGGAAATGCAAGTGGTTAAGTCATCTGCTAACTGAAGTACTCAGAAATGGGCTTATATGACTTTACCTTCCCTGGTCTGTCTTCTTCAGTTCTATGGGTTTTTTTAGCAACTGAGTTTATCTGAAGGATTGTAACAAATCCTAAATACCAAACGCAGTCTTCACAATACAATTAACAAGCATTTATGATTAAATAGTTCTAAGCTTTGTGCAGCACCACCACCTTATTTTCAATGCCCTCGGGATGATCTACACCCTTTTTGACTTAACTGTTTTGGCTCTGGTACTAATACATTACAGTACTAATTCTGTATTTCTTTTTTCCTATGTTTCAGACATCATGGTTTGGACAAATGGCACAAGTCTCTATGCCAGATTTCTTATGTGGTTTCTTCTGTATATGGTTGTCAGGAAGGTAATGCCTGAAGATAACATCATTACAACTAAAAAAGGCAGAGTCAGAGGGATGAGCCTGCAGGTACTGGGGGGAACTGTGACAGCCTTTCTTGGAATACCTTATGGACAGCCACCCATTGGCAAACTGAGATTTCAAAAACCAGAGCCTCGTGAGAAGTGGTCAGACGTATGGGATGCCACAAAACATGCAAACTCTTGTTACCAGCTTATAGATACAACTTATCCAGGATTTCCTGGATCAGAGATGTGGAATCCAAAAACTAACCTAAGTGAAGACTGCTTATACCTTAATGTATGGGTCCCTTCTCCCAAACCCAAGAATGCAACTGTCATGGTGTGGATATATGGTGGTGGCTTTGAGACTGGGTCAAGTTCCCTACCAGTCTATGATGGCAGGTTTCTGGCCAGAGTAGAAAGAGTCATTGTAGTTTCCATGAACTACAGGACTGGTGCATTAGGATTTTTGGCTTTGCCAGGAAACAAGGAAGCTCCTGGAAATGCAGGTTTATTTGATCAAAGATTAGCACTTCAGTGGGTCCAGGAGAACATAGCAGCATTTGGAGGCAATCCGAAAAGTGTGACTATATTTGGAGAGAGTGCTGGCTCAGCTTCTGTCAGCTACCATATCCTTTCTCCTAAAAGCCATCCTTTATTCACAAGAGCCATCATGCAAAGTGGATCTGCAAATGCCCCTTGGGCTGCAGTAACAGCATCTGAAGCCAGAAACAGAACAGTAGCTTTAGCTAAACAACTCCAGTGTCCCACCAGCAATGAGAAAGAGCTAATTCTCTGCCTCAAAGACAAGGACCCAAAGGATATAGTGGAGAATGAAATTTTTGTTGTAGCATATCACTCTCTTTTGCAAATCTTTTTTTGTCCAACTGTGGATGGTGATTTTCTCTCTGACATGCCAGAAACATTGATTGAGAATGGCCGTTTCAAACAAACACAGATCTTAGTTGGTGTTAATAAAGATGAAGGATCAGCATTTCTAGTATATGGAGTCCCTGGCTTCAGCAAGGATAGTGATGGCTTGATCAATAAAACAGAATTTGAAACAGCTTTAACTGTGTCCTTTCCAGAAGCAAGCCAACTTGCCATAGAATCTATCATTTTTCAGTACACAGATTGGGAAAATGAGCAAAAGCCAGAACAGTACCGTGATGCCATGGATGACGTTATTGGTGACTACAACATAATATGTCCTGCAATAGAATTCACAAAAAAATTTGCACACCTAGGACACAATGCATTCTTTTATTTCTTTGAACATCGATCCTCAAAGCTCCCTTGGCCAGAGTGGATGGGAGTAATGCACGGTTATGAGATCGAGTTTGTGTTCGGATTGCCCCTAGAAAGAAGAGTGAATTACACCAAAGCTGAAGAAATCTTAAGTCGGTCCATGTTGAGATACTGGGCGACTTTTGCAAAAACTGGGTAAGTTTACTATGGAAGTTTGTTTGGTCAGATGCTTGTTGTTTCACAGGCAGAAAAAGCTTAACTGTTTTGGTGGTAATTTTAAGCCTGGTGAGAATGATGTGGAAGGATTAATTGTTCAGCTAGCCACAATTCCTAGTTTAGTTCTGATAAAAACACTATCTTAGTAAAACAAACTGTTGATGTATAGCTTACTGTATTGGATGAGCTTAAGAAAAAAAAATGTGTATCCACACATAAAAGCAAATGCCAAATTTTATTTATTTTTTTTTTTTCATAGCAGCAGTTGTCACAAAGGAAGCTGATGGTTTAAAGTTTTAGAAACAGAATATTTCAAATTCTGGTAGTGACTTCCAACAGCAGAAGTAAAAGGAAAAAGCCCGGTTTTCTTTAAGATGTAATTGGTCAGAACATGCATGTGTATAATATGGAGGTATATCATGTTCACATGAAGTGATTGGGATTGCAGGATATTCTTTTCAGAAAGCCTATCTTTCCCTGTGTACTGTAAGTATAAGTCTGGCTTTCACTGAAGCAGACAAAAAATCACTTGTTAATTATATTGTTATTTCAATTAATATAATCTTTAAGTGAAATATATGCCAGCCTGTATAAAAAGCAAATAGCCAAATTTCATTTGGATGTTTGAAATGGGTTAAATACAGCTCCTCATTAGGTCTATTTACCTGGCATCCAAGAGAAGTAAGACAGCCCTCACTCTGCTTGGCAGGGTTGTGGGCTTTCAACACAATATTCATTCTGAAATGAAAACATTTCTTTGTGGTAAGAAAAACAGCCACTACTACAGTCATGTAGTCTCAAGGCTGAAAGCCTGATGGTGTGGGGAAGTAGCTTGTCTTCTCAGAAGTTTAGTTTGTGCTCTCTCCAGAAAAAATAACATATATAAAAATCTGTACATGACAGAACACGAAATTACAATCTTAATTCACACATTAAATTGTTTCATTAACTCAAATCCTGCATCAGTTTTATTTCCTTGGTGCACTTTTCTTTTGCTTTGTGAAGGATACATAGATTCATAAAGGCTGAAATCAACTTTGGAACAAAGTTTCAAGGTGAAATAACAGCTTATTTTTATGTATTTATTTTGCTGGGTATTTTTTAAACAGATTTGATTTTCAACAGGTGTGATTGTTTGCCTTGATATGTAGGAATGTTAATTACAATTAACAACTTTATCCTCTTTATTTGTTGAAGCCTGTAATACATTTTTTTACTCGGTGATGAGCATATTAAAACTCAGAAAATTACTATATAGATAGTTATATTCACCAATGCATAATGTTTTGATACAGGTTTTCTCATAAAATTCAATCTAAAATTTAATCTATGAGCTCTTTTCACTTCACTCTTTACTCGGAGCCTGATGACACTGCTTCATACGAATTTGGTATGAAAGACTGTAGCACAGAGAAAAGCATTCAGCAGGGTTGTACATTCTGGAATTGAGCTGTGTGGTTGATTTATCTATGCCAAAAACGCATCTGATAGATTCCAAAGATGAAGACTGCAGAATGAGGTCAGGTAAAGCTTGGTAACAATTCCTGCATCACACATACTATGACAACACTGCGTTGAAGCTGGTGTCATTAGGTCCTTAGTGGAGAGCAAACTGAGTGAAGTTTCCTAATTACATATTGCAGCTTTAGAACCTGTCCTGCAGGAGTTTACAATGAGGATCTTACAGCAGAGATAATAGATCTTTCCATTAAACAGAACTATTTCTTAGTAGGAAAACAAAAATTCAAGTCTATACTAGATTTTTCAGAACAATATTTATATTTTTGTGAAGTATTGTTTTCCAGTGGGTTATATAGGTATATTTAACTTTCATGTATATAAGTATATATTTTTATGCATACATACATACATATTAAAATTTCAATAACCTCGGATGCAAAGTAGAGTACACTGTCACTGTAGTTATCTAAAATTAAACAACATAAGGTACATTCAGGTTTAAGCTTATAGAAGACAGTCCTATCATCTAGTCTGATTATCATTTGCATAATAGATTAACCTACAGATTGAATTTCAAGTGGTTTCCACAGCAAACAGCAAATAAGCCCTTCCTCTGCCTCCACCTTAAGTACCAAAAGCATCAGTATTAAGGTAAACAATATAATCATGCAATTTATGTAACAGTAAAGGATCAGATCAGTAGTAACTCACTATGTGACACTTTCCTCATCATACAGAACACAGATCCCTGAGGTTCTGTAACACTTTACTTATAGTGTATAATGAGTTGGGAAATAATAAAAATTCTTAATACAAAAGAGTCAAGAAAAAAATGAGAGAGATTGGTTTTCTTCTGGTACTTTCTGGTTGGGGGAGATCGACAAGCAGCTCAGCTCACTACATGCAGAGCTGTTTCTCACAAGGGGTCTTCAAGCCCATACTTTGACTCTAATGACCTCTGTTTTTCATTCTAACGTAAGCACTAGGAATAAAAATGGTGATGTGAAAAGTCAAAGGTATTTCCTGTAGGAGCATTTTCTGTTTCTGTCATGGTTTAACCCCAGCCAGCAGCTAAGCACCACCCAGCCAGTTGCTCACTCTCCCACAGTGGGATGGGGGAAGAAAATTGGAAGAGTGAAGGTGAGAAAACTCATGAGAAATACATAATGACATGTAAGAACAAAAGAAAAGATGTTAGGGAGAAAAAGACAACTGACTCCTTCAAAGGATCCCAAGGGTATATGTGAAATTATTAATTTCTACATTTCTCAGTAAACAAAAGAAGACTTGTCAGCCAGTCCAAGAGTTCCCTCCTCGACCACCATACCTACCAATAACTGATGCTATTTTCCAAGTCTCTAGGCTCTTCTTATTTCGCATCCTTGCTAAAACTAAATATTAGTGATAACAGCCTCTTTTGCTGTAAAAGGGATAAATATTTTTTCTTTTTGAATATGAATGGGGAATGGGCAATATAGATGATTCATCAGGACATGTGAAAGACATTTTACTGTGATGCTTGAAATTAGATGCTGACTTCATACACAAGTATCTCTCTTCAGTACCCAAGGGAATAGTGTCATTTTTTAGGAATCTGAAATACATTTATGAGGTCTGTGACATTTGTGAAGACCTTCCCGAAACATTTCTTCTTTGGCAATAAGCTTTTTCCTCAGGAGATTCCCTGCAGATTCATTATCCAGAATAGGGTTCAGGAGTTTAGGAACCTCTTGGAATTATGGATACAGTATCTACCTCTGTTACTGCACACAGGGGTAGGCTGCTAATCACCGTCTGCAGTATTTGCCCATGTAATTAATTTTATTTCATATTGCATAGTCTGAGAAGAATTTAAAAAATAAATATAAAATAAAACAAATTACTTCAACTGCTATTCAGACAGTTAACACAAAGTAGCTTGAAGAAAGTACAGATCAGTAGTGATGTTTAGGATCAACCCTTTGGATTATTTCTATCTAATAATGCTTGAAGATAGACTACAGGTCAGAGGTAAGCACCTACCATGGAGATGTGGTTAAGCACGCTGGCGGCGTGTATAACTTACCCTCAGTTACACACTCCCCAGATGATCCTTGTATTTAAGAACACTGGCAACTGAAGTTCAGTTGTTAGTTTTAAAATGATTTGATAAAATTCCAGATGTCATTAAAATTAGACTGGCAAAGAGGTGTGGTCAGATGGTATTCAGGCTCAGTAAGATTATGCTTGTGTATAAGTAAAGTTCACTTTAACAGTATTATGTCAGTTTGCAGTGGCCTTCTGAATGCTTTCTGTCACACTTTAAGTGACATGACTGTGAAAGAATTTAAATTTCTCTTTCTAAACACTTTTAAAATTAATTTTTCTGCTGCATTTTTGTTATTCTTCAGAAAGCTTTTGAAAGTAAGTGACACTAACAGGTGCTATCAATCATAAGCATCAGAATGCTCGGCTAACTCTAGTGAGAGGAAGTTTTATTTATCATGAAAAAAAATATATGGCATCCCAATCACTGGGTGCTTGGCTATGCCTTTTGCATTACTTTATTCATTAGATTAGGTACCTGTATTCTCTAGACATGAGTGACATAAAGTGACAAGGAGACAGACAAATCAGATGAGATGAAAACTCAAATAATAATGTAGTGAAACACACAAAGATAATATTTTTAAGGCTTTGTGAAAAAATGTTTTGGCTAAGAGGAAACTGGCAAAACTTGTCTCACTGCCAGTTTTACAACTGCTGAAACAAATCTTTACAGCTTTTTCTATAAAGTGAAGCCTTTGAAATATTTCCTTCTGTATTTTAGGGGAATTTGTGAGGCTTTGATTGTTCCACTAAAGCTCTGAAGTACTTTGCCTGGTTATTATTGCCTTTCCCTGATGTTCCACTGGTAGACATATAATAAATTTCAGTGCTTTTGTTACCAACTTATCACAACATTTTTATAGAGAGTAGTTTCAGAGCGGTGAGAACAAAAACAACAGGCTCATATAGAGTCCAGACAGCACATTGAACTGGGGACCTATATATTCTATATATGGAAAGCAATGAATACACTGGGGGGGGGGAAGTAAAAAGCTCCAACTACTTTTAATTTTCTAACAGTTTTGAAACTAGGTAGTTTTACATACAACTAAGAAATTTACTGTGGGTTATGTTTTTTCCTAAGATTAGCCCATGTTCACAGGCCAGAAAGACACTCAGCTGAGATCTAGTTCTGGTCCCCACCATGTCTTCAAATGCACTAAAGCTGTAGAACAGTGGGATAAAGACTTTCCCTGAGGCTGTTGCTTCTGGCATCTCATGTTCATCTAGAATAAGTCATTTGTCATCTTAACTAGTGATTTGACTGGATCAGGTCAAGAATACAGAATAAAAAATTTCTGGGTGTGAAGCAAAAACCAAAGAAGTATAAATGAAGCATGGCAGATTTTTCTGAAAGTACAGAAAATACAGATGGAAAGTCTTAACTTCCAATTTTAGGAAAAAAACAAAGATCTAATTTTGACCCAAAA